GATTCCTTTTACAGTACTCGTAATTAAGGGTTGAAGCTATTGGGTTTCCAACTTTTGGGCTTCTACTGTAGGGGTTCAGGGTTTCGGGCTTATTTAAAGGTTCAAGGGTTTAGGGTTCAGGGTTAAAGGGTTTAGGGTTGAGGGTCTAGGGTTGAGGGTTTATTTAGAGGTTTAGGGGTTTAGGGTCAGGGTTTAAGGGTTTAGGGTTGGGGGTCTAGGGTTGCGGGTTTAGGGGGCAGCTTGGGCCTTAAATCTGCCGACCCTAAAAACCCGGCTACCATCAAAGACACAGCTCATCCCCAAAAGTCCTCAACTCCACATCCTCGCGCACCTTATCCCGTACAGCTCAAATCGGAAAACACAATCTTGCAGCAACCCCAAAGCCTGAAGCCCTAAACCTTAAACCCTAAACCTTCAACCCTGAACCCTCAATTCCACACATCGCTATGCGCCTTACACAGCCTGAATGCTAAAGCTTGCGCCACAAACCCTAAACCTTAATCCTAAAATACCCGACCTAGACCCCCCAACCACCTTCTACTATACCCCAAATATCCACTATTAGGGACCATAAGGGCTCTATGAAAGGGACATTGGGGGGTCCTGGTAAACCCGAGACCTTAAACCATAAACCCTCAACCCTAAACCCTAAGCCATAAACCCTCAACCCATGTCCTCACTTGTTCCAGTCCGCTGAGGACAGGCGACCTAGTCGCGGTTTAGGGTTCAGGGTTTGGGGTTTAGGATCATGATGGTGGTGATAGTGACGGCGAGACTCATGGTGATGGTGATTCAGTGATGCTGCTGCTAATGCTGATCAACATCATGATAATGAGCAGAGTTAGGGTGATTCTTGCTTTTACTAGTACACGTATTGTGACTGCACTCTTAACAACACAGGGAAGTTGCAGTGTTTGGGGCGTCGGGCTCTGGGATTTTGTGTTTGTGGGCAAAGGGATCGGGGCCATGAGTGGTAGGGTTGACGCTCGAATCGTCTCATGGGGCTGCAAAGGGCCTCATGAATCAGGAAGGGTTTAGGGATTTAGGGTTTAGGGTTTGGGGTTTAGGGTTTAGGGATTTAGGGTTTAGGGATTTAGAGTTTAGGGTTTGGGGTTTAGGGTTTGGGTTTAGGGTTGAGTGAGGGTTAGGGTTTAGGGTTGAGGGTTAGAGTTATGCAGGGGTAGGGCTGGCTAGAGTGTAGGAATTTGGGAAGCAGGGACCCGCAAGGGCCTGTTTAGGTAAGCATGGGTAGTGTGTCCAAGACAGGTCTAGGCTGCCTACACTTCGAATGCCCCTGAGGAAAAGGCACAGTGGTTCTTTGAGACCACTGCGAAACAGACCGAAATCAATGTAGAACTACACTCAAGCTCCCCTGAAGTAGAAGAAGCGGAAATTGGAACTGAAGCAGGATTGTACATCATTTCCGAAACCCTAAACCCAAAGCTCCTAAACCCCTAAACCCCGAACCCTTAACCCCTAAAGCCCAAACTCTACCCCCCAAAGCCCCTCCGCCCTGGCTGAAATAGGGTCAAGCACAGGCATGTCTGGGCACTCCGGCGTGTCGCCGTGTTGTCGGATGGCCTCCTTCCTTGTAAGAGGCCGGGCAGATGTTTTGTTGTAGGAAACGTGCTGACAAAAGTAGGATTGAAGGCTTGCAGAGTTTCGGATGGAGGGCTTAGTTGAGTGTTTGAGGATTTTGAGGCCTGTTGGGACTTTGTGTGGGGGCGGCAGAGCTTCTGTCCCAAACCGTCTATTGAAAGCCATGTTTTTGCAGCAGCAACCCCCTGAATGAAACCGTGAACCCTGTCAAATATCTGCTTGCGCCCAATCTCAAAACAAAGCCCGACAGATTCGGGCTGCTTTTCCTTCGAACCCTAGCAACAACTACCTGAGCATCCCAATGAACGCGAAACTACGAAAAGCTCCCCGAAAGTATACGGCTTCCTTCAATACACATGAACTCCGGTAGGCTTCACTCCTGAACCGGAACCTCCAACCGTAATTCGATAAACTCCATGAGTCTTGGGGTTTAAGGGTTTAGGGACAACCCTAAGGAAGGCTCCTGGACCCTTCTAGTGAGGTCCCAAACCCTCGCCCCCAAAGCCGAAACCCTCCCCCACAAGGCCCAAGACCCTCTAAGGAGGGTTTTGGGACTAGGGTTTAGGGTTTGGGGTTTGGGGCTAAGGGACTAGGGTTTAGGGTTTGGGGTTAAGGGTTTAGGGTTTGGGGCTTGGGGTTGAGCGCTGAACACCTCTAAACCCCAAGCGACTGTGCACTCACAGAACATGTCAATCGAAACTAAGGATACTACTTGGAGGTTCGTGGGACTTAGTAAGTAGGGTTATAACCCAGCAAGCCCAATACCCCTTAATTAAGGAATATAGCTTAAATCACAATATTAAGCCCCTAATTAATGATTTAAGGTATATTCCTTAAATAAGGGGTATTGGACTCTCTGGGAAGTACCTTAGTTGGGGCTATAAGTAGTTATACCTGTAGCTATCTTACTTCTAACCCCAATTACCTAGTCCCATGATCCTTTAAGTAGACCCGAAACCCTAAACCCGGATAGTACCCCTTATAGATCCCTTAAAGGGGCCCCTTAAAAACCCCAATTACTAAGTTCCATGACTTGGGCCCCGACAAGCTCAAGTGCTCTTCTTGGAGGGCCTGGAGGATGGGAGACCTGGGATTATCTGGGAGGGGCTTTGACCCAGAGACTCCAATATCCCTTAATTAAGGAATATACCTTAAATTATAGTAGGATCCCTAATATGATTTAAGGAGTATTCCTTAATTAAGGGATATTGGAGTCTCTGGGTATCTGGGAGGGGCATTGAACGGTCTAGGGTTTTTGCGGTTTAGGGGTTGAGGGTTTAGAGGTTTTTCTTTTTTAACACATGCTAGACTTAGCCTACTCGCCAAGCCCCCCCACTCCGAGGCATGCGGTGAGACCACTGCCACAGTTGGGCAATGTTATTGGGACCGCTGGGACAGGTCCACAAACAAGACCACGAACAATTCAGAGGACTGTTATAGGTCACAGGACCGTTGCAGGTCAAGTTTAGAGGTTTAGGGAAAAGGGGTTTATAGGTTCAGAGGTTTAGGCCTTAAGGTTTTATGGTTTAGGGGTACACGGTTCTGCGAAGCTTAGGATTCATGTAATGTTTACGGTGTGGGAAGGCGTAAAATAGGCTTCTGCGGCCCAGTGTAGGTAGGGTCTCACACAATGACGGATACTTGAGACAGCACCACTTGTACTATCCCTGTACATGCAAATATGGATATACATATCTACATAACCATCTATCTACCCATCCTACTAGCTACCTATCTCTGTACTATATAGAATGAGAGAGTATCTTGCGCAGCCCCTGCATGAAACCGCGAAGGTTCTATGATGAACACTTCGTCCCCTTAGGACACCGTATATGTAGGCGGAGGGATCATGATGAGAGGAAATTCTGGGTCTATAGCCTGGCAAAGGTCATGGTTGCTACACGCAATATTTAGAACAGGGCTTTTAGGGCGAAGGGCTTCCCACGAAGATTCGGAGTGCAATCCTTCGCCTTAGCTAGGTTCTCTGGTTGCTTGTTGCTGCCACTGCTACGATTCCAGCTATAAACCAGCATTCTCGCAGGCTTGGTGACGATTTAAGCTATTCTCACTGCTGGAAGAAACAGCACATGTCAGATCGGAACAAGTAGAACAAACATCCTTACAGTCCCTGCACAAGTATACGATACTACACCCCGAAATCGTGCCCTGAACGCCAAACGCCGAATCCCCTTATAAAACAAGAACCCTTAAAGGCCCGTGCATATCCTTCATTCTTTCTTCACAAACTACAACCCCCTGTAAAAGCTGGTGCCGGGTCTTCAGCTTCCGCAAGTTAGGCATGCGGGTCTCTTTCTACTTTTTTTCAAACCCGAGCATAATGTAGGCTCCGGGTTTAGACAAATATACTCACCAAAATACCGGTGAGCCCGACATACAGCCGCCAAACCCCCAAATCCTACATATACATATATATATATATATGTATATATATATATATGATCATCTTGACTCGGAAGGTTACAAACACTTTGATTGGGGGGCGGGGGTAAAGGTAATTGCTACTAGATCTAGCTTACACATAACCTCAGCTACTGAGCCCGATGGTCGTTCAAGCGATCACTGGTCTTTAACCAGAACCCTTTTACAATCCTATGAAACCCATTAAACAGGGTTTCGGGAAAATATACCAAAGATATAGTTAACAAGGAACTCTCTCTTCCCCAACAGCCCGGGCCAAAACATGTTCAAGAGTGAAAAGAAAGACCGAAAATCTTATTGAAATTCGCCAAGTAGTTCAGTTTACAAGTTGTTTAGGCTTCTACGTTAAGATCCACAAGAGCCTTAAAACCAGCGGCCCAATACCCTTGTACTATGCATCCCTATATAAGTGTATGAACCTTAAAGCCTTTTCGGCCTCCTTTCGCCTTTAAGGATGTTACGACATCCTACGGGTCTATGTACCGAAATAGTATATACTTTGGGCCCAATGTACATATATCCTTTTAGGGAGTACTCCAGGGCCAATGTATATACTACTTGGGTACGTGGACCCTTAAACCCTAAACCCTAATGGTACCCTGAAAGGCATGCTTATGGTACCCATTAAAGAAACACTATTTGGGTACAGGGACCCTTAGGGACTTTGCTGGGTCTCCCCACAGGTCTATCGCTGCAGGTGCCGCAGGAGGGGACCGACGCTCGCGCTCGGCGCGCTCCGTGTGCCTGGGCGCTGGCTCTGGGTTTAGGGGTCCTGGGCGTGGCGGTTAAGGGTTCTGGGGTTTGTGGTTTGGGGTGTGGGGCTTAGAAAAGAGGGGTTTTGGGTTTTAGGGCGTAGTTGAGGGGTCTAGCATTTAGGGTGTAGGAAATTGATTTAGTTTCCCTATCCGGGACATGGTTTCCTTCTTGTGGTAACTTTGAAGACCTCCCTTAACCCTCAACCGTTATAGATCCCTAGAAGGAAACCTGTGTGTGGTAGCAGAAACTAAACTTCCAAAACAACCCAGTTGCTCAGTGCGGTCGCGATCGAGGTCGCGCCCCAGAGAGTCCAAGCCGTCCCGCAGTGCTTTCAGCGACCTTGGCGGTTGGGGGTTAGAGCTTTTACCGTTTAGGGTTTGGGGTTGATGACTCAGGGTTTAGTAGGGTTAACCATGGCTAACCCAAAACCTATAAACTCTAAACCTGTCAATCCGACAGGGTCCAAGGCCCAGGGCTTCGGATTTGAGTTTCCGCGACATGTTTGCAAGTTTAGGGCCTTGGCTTTGTTCATTTTCGTCATGCGAACACACCGTTTTCCATCAACCTGGCTGAAATAAGTTGCATAGACACTGGTGGGGATTCTGCAGGCAACTTCCCTACCGTTGATGATATAAGTCTTGCATTACCCATAACAAGGATATACAATAATTGCCATAGTCTAGTTCATTAAGGTAATGCAGGATTCATATCACCAACCGTATCACTGCTAATTCAACTGCAATGCTGCTGCGATACGAGGAGTATGTACTAGTCTGTACCAAGACCCCGTAAGAATATAAAAACAACAGCGTTGTACAGGTACCGGGCCATTATTTCTCCTACTTTTAGGTACTGCCAGCACCCTGAATCCCTTCTTCATGGTTGCAACTTGAGGAACCTGCTCAATAGTCAAGCACCAGCGGATCTATTGTCTATGGCTGCCCGGCCCGTTCCCCGAACCCCTAGACCCCTAAACCTCTATAACCCCGAAACACTAAACTTGACGAAACCCCTAAACCCTAAAGCCATGCGTCGAACTCATAGCCCCCTCACTCGCTCAAAGAGTCGGCGGAACTCGTGTTTTCGTAGATACGTGCCAGGTTCAGGTCGCGCAGCCCGATGTGCCAGCACCGGTTAGGGTTTAGGGAGTTTAGGGGTTTCAGGGTTTAGGGTTTAGTTACGGTACGTGCAGAATGTAGGAACCTGATTAAGAAATCCTGGGCCTATAACCCCAAAATAGTAGGGTTCATGCAAGGAACCTAATAAAAGGCCCAAGGTTTCTTAATCAGGTTCCTATCTGTCCCTGACATCGAAGCAGGGCTTGTATCCACATTCTCGCGCTAGGGGCGGCATCATGTTTTGAATGTATAGCTTGGAGACCTGTTTGGCTCTTCCCTTGGTGATTATAGTAGGGTTCAGGGTATATGTAATCTTGAAACCAAAAACCGAAGGAACAATATTGCTTCTTCAGGCTTCTATACTACGTCGAAAAAGCTGCCCTTTCCTGCTTAAAGGATCATGGAACACAGTGCAGCATTACTAACATCCAACCAGGCACTTCTAACCTTATTCTTGGTATGTCCTCCCAAATCCTAACATTTGCGCAGCCCTTCTGGAAACATATAGAACCCTTTTCAAAAAGCCACTAATCTGTTGGAGTCTCCGGAAATCGAAAGAAGTTTAGGATGCCCAAACCCGACACAAACCCTAAGATCCAAACCCTAAACCCCAAAACCTTAAACCCCAAACCCCCGAAACCCTAAACCCACAACCTCTTAAGCCCAAACCCTTACTCTAAACCCTAAACCCTAAACCCCTAAACCCTAAACCCTCAAGAGCAGGATAAATAGAAATTGTGTGTCTTTCGCTTCGAAATGGATTGCATCTTCGATATTTTCGAACCGAAGAAGGCAGAGGCAGGGACGAGGCGGGAGCGCTTATCCTCAACCAATATGGGGTCCCAGGTGCGTGCTCTCACCCCGAGTCCCCAAAGGTCAACGGTGGCCCAGCCGACCCAGCCCAGCCCAGCCAATTGCCTAAATCAAAATGCAAGAGCAAAAAACAAAACCCGCTCAAAACTCGCTCATAACCAAAACTTTCGCCCAAAACGTTTCGCTCCAAACTTTCGGTCAAAACCCCGGACCCAGCCCCGGCTGGATTTCGCCCTCCTATCCCAGCCCAGCAGCCGCCAATAGCCGCCAGCGGCTGCTCCCAGCACAGCCCCCAGCCCAGCCGAGCCAGCCCAGCCCAGCCAATTGCCGAAATCAAAATACAAAAGCAAAAAACAAAACCCGCTCAAAATTCGCTCAAAACTCACTCAAAACTCGCTCAAATCTCGGGACCTGAACCCTATACAATTTCTAGCTCAAAACTCGGTCAAAACTCGGGACCTGAACCCAGCCCAGCCCAGACCCCCCTTCAACGAAGCCAGCCCCTTCAGCCCACCCAGCCCACCCAGGCCGGTCCAGCCCAGCCCAGCCACTTCGCCAGCCGAATGACCAAGGCCTAGCCGGTCCAGCCCAGCCCAGCCACTTCCCAAAGTCAAAATGACAAAGCAAAAACAAAAACCCGCTCAAAACTCGGTCAAAACTCGGGACCTGAACCCTATACAATTTCTATAAACCTAAACCCTAAACCCCTAAACCCTTATCCTGGCCCCGGCCCTGGCCCTGCAGCTGGCCCTGGCCCTGTGGCCGTGGCCCTGTAGCCCTGGGCTGTGGCCCTGCGCCTGCCGGGGGCTGGCTTGGGTCGGCCCTGGCTACCCTCCCCTCCCTTCCTGCCCTGCCTGCCTGCCCTGCTTGGGCTGATTTTGGGCCATCGCCAGACCAAGCCACAAAACCTTGAAAAAAACCCTAAACCCAGGTCATAGACTGGGTTGGGTGGGTAGGGCGAGAGCGTTGAACCTAGGCGCACACCACAACACATGTCTCGTATGCCCTTCGACATCGATGGCGCAGGTGAGGCTGGAGGGGGGCTGGGCTGGGGAACCCCCCTTGGGGGGGCTTGGGGCCTCAGGAAGCACAGTTCAAGGACCTAGGGGCCTCCAGGCCCGTCCTAGGGGGGAGACCTGGCCAAAATTGCAATTTTGCTGAGGCCACCAGGCTGGCTCCGCTGCTTGCCCCGCCTGCCTGCTGCCCTGCCTTCTGCCCTGCCTTGCCCTGACCAACCTGCTGGTTTTTGCTTATTAAATTCCGTTCATAAAATGTGCATTTTCATTATGGCCCGGTGCCAAAGTCGAGGTCCCCTCCTTTCTTTGTGTGGGCCTAGTCTGAAGAAACAAAGAAAACCATCGAATGAGTTTAGGTGCTAAACCCTAAACCCCTAAACCCCTAAACCCTAAACCTAAACCCTAAACACCTAAACCCTAAACCCTAAACCCCTAAACCCTAAACCCCTAAACCCTAAACCCTAAACCTAAACCCTAAACCCTAAACCCTAAACCTAAACCCTAAACCCCTAAACCCTAACCCTAAACCCTACACCCTAAAACCTACTTGCATACCCCGAAAGTCTCCAGGAAAACTGGGCTCCAAACGCATCCGTGGCATTTTGGGACTGTTTGACTTCCCGCAGCGGCCCCGAAGGGTCGAGCCTCGGAGGGCTTAGGGTCCCCTAAACCCCATCTGCTTTAGGATTTAGGGTTTAGTTTAAAGTCTAGTTAAAGGGATTGATATAGGGTTCCTTAAAATGATCTATGGGAATCTATGGGGTTTGGGGTCTACTTGGAGGGGCAAGGGACTTAGTAAGGAGGGTTATAAGTGTAACTCCATTTAGGGTACTTATAACTCTACTTATAACCTACTTACTAAGTCCCCTGCTCTGAACCCTAAGCCCTAAACCTAAACCCGAAGCCCTAAACCCTAAACATCTCGAAACCCTAAGCCCTAAACATGCTTGCATGCTTACGACGTCTTCAGGGGGTTAGGGTTTCAGGTTTAGAGGTTCAGGTTCAGGGTCTAGAGTACAAGTAGGCTGTTGCTTGATTCTCGAAAAGGTTTTGCTGGGGTTAGTAAACGGTTCGTAAAGGCCGTGTGTTTTTGAGGATCAATACTAGAATGATGCTTTGGTTTATGTTACCGTATATGTAGGTACATGAAGAGAAAACAGGACTGGCATTTCAAACTGTTCAGGCATATTCTATGCAGTTCACGGATTTCGGAATTCTGGGTCCTGCACTTTAAATGGCCTGGGGTTCAGGGCTTCCGGGTTAAGGGTTCACTATATGGGCTCTGAGCTGGGCGGTGAAACGTCAAGTCATAAAAGGCTTGCAAAGGAACTCAGGCTCATCTAGTCTATTGCTGAATCTTAGCTGACGGAGCCGGAGGCTCAAATGACTGTTCTGACATACCGGTGCACTTCTTGCAAGCAGAGCTGAATTTGCAGCTTCGTCGGAAACCAGACCTGCGCACCACAGCAGCCTGCCACTCGAACGCCGATGGCGTAGTCATGACCTGAATAATTCTCCTTGTCTTTTGCTAAGAAACCGAAGGTTCTCTCAAGTTCAGGCTCGGGCAAGCCACAAGCGAAGCAACACCGGCCCACGCCTCTATCGACCGGAGCCAGTTTGCCAACGACAGAAGCGGGTTCTGCAGACAACAGCAGTTGCTTGGCTGTGGCGTCGCGAGATAGCCGACTGCGACGAAAGGAATGGAATCAAGTTATTGGCTTGCTCATGAGCCGGAAATGGATGTTGAAACAAGTCATTTGCTGAACTGTAAGCTTCTTGCTTTTTGCATCGTTTGCTCCGTGTCTGGGGATTTAAGGGGCTCAGAGCTTTAAGGACGAGGCCCCACTGCCGGAGGTTTACAGGTTCACGCTTTAGGAATGAATGAAATCTGCAGTGTTTTCGACATAATTCGCCTCGGCCCCGGCCGAAGCGGTCAGAGGTTCCTATTCGGATTCCTCTATTCCCCACCTCTTAATCCCCTCCCCAGTGACCCCACCCCAAAAAAAAGGGTGCCCCCCCCACCCCCCCTAAAAAATGGAAACGTGTCGATGAGCCCCAAGGTCCGGCGGTGAATTTTCGCCTTCTCCAGTGGATTTTGGTCTTCTGTAGGCAGTCCCACCCAATTTTCTTCGCTCCCCCTCCCTCCCCCCCCTCCCCCTCTCCCCCCCCTCCCCCCCTCCCCTCCTCGGCTGCGAACTTTCTGGAGTTTTCGACGACACGGGACTGCAATGTAGCATCTTTATTTGTTGGGGCTCGCCGCATGCGCGTACAGCCGGGCCGAGGCGGACGACGCGCAGCGTTTCAAATTAAGCAGCTTTTGGGTTGCCTGACAAGCTTCTTACAAGATGTTCTTGTGACTAATGCGTTCATGCTAGTGCTGCAAGCCCCGCTGGTGAATTCGCGCACCAAAACCAGCACCAGCATCAACAACAAGGGCTCTTGCGGCACTTAGACACATCACTATGATTGTAACTGATGCAGATCTTGATGTGAGTGAGTTGTGACTTCTCCCTGGAGTTGTTGCCCTCTACCTATGACTCTAATCTTGATGTCGCATCATGGCTGCTATTGTCTTATGTTGATGGTAAGTGGTGCAGATGGGGCAATCGCGAGGTTAGTGATGTTGACGTCTGTGGAATTAAAGATGATGACGACAACGAATGGTGACGTTGATGGCGCCTGCTACTTGTGATGCCGATGGCGGTGCTGACGACGACGATGATGACGGCCGTGCTGACGATCATGGTGATGATGACGACGATGATGATAGAGATGGTGATGGTGATGGTGATGGTCAGACCACGATGATGGTGAAAGCAGTGGGAGGCAGGAGGGGAGGAAGAGGAGGAGGATTGTTCTGGTCGTGGTGACGACCACAACAATGCTGACGGCATGATAGTAGGGATGAGCATGAGGATAGCGGTTTCGGGGTGATGACGACCATAACAACAGTTCTCGGGCACAGGCTCGCGAAGTCTTCCCTGCAGGGAAACTTGCAGAATGACTTTAGAGTTATGGCTGCAAATACCCTGAAATCACAGATGCTGAAACCAGGCGCCCCTAAAACCCTAAATCCTTGTAGCTTCTTGTAAAGGAACCCCTAACACCCCCTTTGTAAAGAGCCGTAAACCTTGCATGGCCATGGATACGCACAGGTAACGACTCCAGACAAGAACCGAATCCTGCCAGAAATCCGGCTCAAGCGCAGCCTTCAGTCCTAGAATGCTAAGGCACGGACCCAGAGACTCCAATATCCCTTAATTACAAAAAGAAGGCTTCCTTAAAGGGTTCCTTAAAGGGATCTATAAAGGGTTCCTATAAGGGATCTATAGGGTTTGGGGTTTAGGAGACTCCAATATCCCTTAATTAAGGAATGTTCCTTAAATCATATTAGGGATCCTGATATGTTTTAAGCTATATTCCTTAATTAGCGGATATTGGAGGCTCCTGGGACGTGAGTCAAGCTGGCATGACAAGTCTTTCACAGGCCGCTGCCAGGTCCCCTGAACCGTCCCAAAGGGTCCTATGGGTTATGTAAGCTTTTCTGGTGTTTTTGTCAACTAGAGCTTTGGGATTGAGGGTTCAGGGCTTCCAGATGTTTCGGGATTAGGGTTTTTAGGATTTTAAGGCTTTAAAATTTAGCAGTTTATGATTCCAGGTGTCAAGAATCAGGCAGGCGAGGAAACCCTAAACCCTGAACCCCACTGAACAGGCTCTGGGCCTTTCCGAAGCTCTCCCTGATCCCGATCTTTAGCAGGAGCGGACAACCACAAAACCGCAGCTACAAAAGACGTTCCTGAGGCCTTATCAAGTCCATCGCGACGCAATCATGGGTCTTGGTAACACATGAACGCCTTTTATCTGGACAACCCTAAACCCAAACCGTAACCTTGCACCTAAATGAAACCTGCACAAAGCCCTAAACCCTAAAGCTTCGTCGGTGCCTTGATGTCACCAAGAGTCGATAGCAGGGCCTTCGCATCTTAAGGTTTCGAGGATATACCTAAACCTCCCCCAAAGCATGTAGGTTTAATCATGGCCCAATACTCATAAAAGGCTTTTATCCTACCTAGGAGTCCAGGTAACCCCAAATAACCGCAGGGTTTTATCCGGGCACGGCTAAGGACATCGTAGTACGCAGTATCGTCTCCACCAACGCCCTAAACCCTGAAAGGGCTCAGGCCCGAACCCTAAGTCCGGCACGAAACTGCTAACCCTAAACCCCTAAAACCTAAGCCCTAAACCTTAAACCCCTGAAACCTAAGGCCTAAACTCTAAAACCCTAAACCCTAAACAACTAGGGTTTAGGGATTTAGGGTTTATAGGGTTTATAGGGTTTAAGGGTTTAAGGGTTTAAGGGTTTAGGGTTTAAGGGTTTACGGGTTTAAGGGCCTACGGCCCCCCCCCCGTCCTTCGAGAGCCCGGAAGCCTTGCCCCCCATCTAAACATTCGTAGCACATTTCTACTACCTTTAGGGTTAAGTTTGGGGTTTAGGGTTTAGGGTTTAGGGTTCATCATTTAGGGTGGTTGTCAAAATTGGGGTCCCTTTTTGGCTCACTATGATAATACGACACCTATTATTTAGGGTATCCCAAAAGGGGCCATTCTACACCCATCTGCGCCCTCCCAGCAGCGCTTTTTAAACCACAACGCGAAAAAACCAACAAGAGCATCAACAATCATGCAGAATCCCGATAAGTCCATACAGGTCTTCTCATAAACAGCCCTACAAGCGACTCAAAACACACATTCGCCAATAAAAAGCAAAGGATCGACGAAACAAGCTGCTTGTAAGCCCTTGACAGAACCCTTAAAACACCGTTCATTCAGTTTGCCTTGAAAGAAGAATCCCAAAACCTCTAAACGATAACATCTTTGAACCCAAGGGGAACCCCCAAGCCCCAAAACCAGAAACAAGCCTGAATCCCGAACCCACAAACCTAAAACTTTAAAACTTGGATCCGTAATTCTAGCCTAAGACACCTAGAATCCCAAACCCTAAAAACTCTACATTGGAGGCCAAAAAACAAGGTATGTAGGCGAACCCTTTTATAAGGACTCATCCTGGGTTGGGGATTAATATAGGGGCCGTGATGATTGGAATACGGTCTTGGGATACATTATACCATAGTTTTAAGAAAGATCCCCCAAAATAGTAGAAGGAAGCCACCCAAAATAATATAGGCAGTTATTCCAACCCCTATACTAATTAACTCCCCTAAACCCTGAACCCCTGACTCTTAGTCTGGGAGTACCCGACCGACCTCCATCCGACCCTGACTACTTCACGGATCATAGGACTTACTAACAGGCGTTATAAGGATCATAGGGCACCTCATAGGGGTTCCTTAAAAGGGGATCTATAAGAGATCTATAAGGGTCCAAGGCCTAAGGATCATGGGACTCAGTCATTGGGGTTATAAGAAAGGTATCTACAGTCAAAACTACTTACAACCCCATTTCGGGTTCTTATAACCCTACTTACTAAGTCCCCTCCTTCAAGTGGTCCAAGTATCCCCATAATACCCTTACAGAAACCCTTATAGGAACCCCTTATTATAGATCCTTTGAGATCCCTGTAAGGATCCCTCCCTACCCACCAAATCCCATGATCCTCCAAGTACTTGGCGGCCCAGGGGACTGAGTAAGTAGGTTGTAAGTAGGGTTATAAGTACCCTAAATGGAGTTACCCCAAGTCTAACCCTACTTATAACCTGCTTACTAAGTCCCCTGCCCCTCCAAGTAGACCCTAAACCCTAAACCCCATAGATCCCTTTAAGGAACCCTATAGATCCCTTTAAGGGGCCTCCCGCAGATCGAGCACGGAGTCCGCCAAGCCACTTTCGGCGAGGCACCTCGCAGTCGAAGGGCTTTGGAGGCTTGAGGAATTGAGGGTTTAGCGTTTCGCAGGAATTGAGGTTTAGAGTTGAGGGTTTAGGGTTTTTTAGGTTTAGGAGGGATTTCGGTTTAAGCTTCCGGACTTTCGGTTGAGGAATTGAGGGTTTGAACCCAAAGCACGATGTACTGATGATGATTATGATGGCGATATAGATGTCTGAACACGGCATATAGTAGTTTATATCCCCGTCACCAAACCCTAGCCTAAGCCCTGAGGCCCAAACAAGTACAGGACCGTAGGCGATCCTGCACAGAGCCCCGAACACTACAGCCTTTGCTTCTTCGGACGGAACATTCGAAGCTCACACATCTCTGACCCTACAGCCTTATCTAAGACAAAGCCGTCTCAACCCGAAAAGACCAAACCCAAAGATTCTAATGAACCCCTCCAAAAGCGACACCGTACATAAGGCATACGAAAGCCCTGAACCTGAAAGTGTAAACCCAAGCACGAGAAATCCTCAGCCCAAAACCTCAACCAGGACTTTTATAGCACATTACAACCTATAGTATCCATTGTAGTTCCTTTTTGGGGTTACCTTATAGGATCCTAATTATATATTTGGTTAAACCAACAAAAGGAACTACAATGCAGACTCTAAAGCCTCAACTCGGAAGTCCGGAAGCGTAAACCACAATCCCTGCTAAACTTAAAACCCTGAACCCTAAACTCTAAACCTCTAAACCCCTAAACCCTAAACCCCAAACCCCTAAACCCTTAATACCCCTAAACCCTAAACCCCTAAACTGCCCCAAACCCTAAACCCAATGTGGGGGCGATCTGAAGGGAATGAAGCAGGACGATGCATTCAAATTCAACCTCGCAGCTGAGGATTCGGGGCATCGGCGGTATCAGCTTCCACCTATAGTGAACCCCAGAAAGTTGGAATATGGATTTAGGATTAGTGCGGGGATTCCCTATACTTTACTTTAGGGGTATGAGGATAATGATGTTCCAACTTCTGGCTTCTCCTCTAGACTCTAGACCTACCCTAAGGCTCCATAGTAGTTCGAATCCTATAAGGTAACCCCAAAAAGGCATTACTTTGGAGCCTGTGGGTATACCTTACCAAAGAAAGATTACAGGGGTTAGACCCTCTAACTAAGGGGTCGTAACCTACTGTTTTGTAGGGTTTGGGGATGCACGTATACCGTACAACAAATTGAGGATTACCTTATAGGATTCTAAATGTGAACCCCAAAAAGGAACTACGATGGAGCCTAGGGTACAAAAGAAAGATCTCTTGCTTTCTTGTCTCCTATTGACCCCGCGAGCAACAAGGAGACTATGGCTGTCGCACGATCACAAGAGAGAGCGAAAGAGAGAGAGCGAGAGAGAGAGAGAGAGAGAGAGAGAGAGTGAGAGAGAGAGAGAGAGAGAGACGAAAAGAGAGACTAGCCCTAAATCTTAAACCCTAAGCCGATTCGCAGGTTCGGCGAGTCGCTGCAGCAGCATAATATGCTTCAGAGAACGGGTTCGCCGGGGGGGGGCTAAAGACGACCGGCCGATTGCTTCCCCGAACCCTCTCGTCATAGACCTTGTAAACGTCTTCCGGGACGTTCGTATCCCCCAGACCGCAGATATAGACTTGAAGGTAGCTGCGGGTCCGGAAAGTTTTGACGCAGGAGGTGATAGCTTCGTGTCGAGCGCCGGACACCTTCTTACGTGCCATATTCGAACATATACCGGCGTCGTACACTGAGCCTATCAACTCGTGTATCTCCGAGATCACCGCAGCCTCGTCCGCGGAAGATCCGCGGTTGGTGGGGCAGCCACGCCGCGAATAGTGCTCTGGCTTCCCTTTCATGTAGCATGCCTCCCAATAGAGCCATGGCTGCCGCGCGGGCGCGTCGCGAGGAGTTGTAGATCTCGAGGGAAGCCCAATGGCTCCATGTACCTTTAAAGCGGATACTTAAGCCTTAAAGGGTTCCTTTCAGGGTTCCTTAAAGGGTTCTATAGGGTTTAGGGTATATAGAAGCGTCTATGGTACCCAAATAGTAGGTACTCAAGCCTTAAAGGGGTCCCTATATAGGTACTTTAAGGCCTAAGTATCTAACCATATGGGTACATGGAGCCTTAGGGCAACAGCCTGTCACTCAGTCATACCGTGTAAACATGCTCAGGGCCCCTCTATGATATGAAGTATACTCTCTGCTTGAAAGATCATGGGACTTAGTAAGTAGGGTTATAAGTACCTTAATTGGGGTTATAGGTGCTTATAACTGTAGTCACCTTAGTTATAACCCACTTACTATAAGTCCCATGATCCTCCAAGTAGCCACGGGCTTGGTTTGTCAAAAGTAGCTGGGCTTTGTCTTTACGCGCGAAAAGCCCGGAGAGTCTCAGTGCGGCGCTCGCGAAAGTGCCGACGGGGGTCCACCTGCATGCGGCATTTCTTTAGATCCATTTAACCGGCGTCAAGAGCTACAACACAGGGGTCGTCCTGAAACCTGTAAACCTGAAAAAAAACAGAGACGCAACATTTAAAACCCTGAATGCCTATCCCCAAAATCCAACCTACACCCTAAACCCTAAACCGTAAACCCTAAGAGACCCCTCATGGCAACCTTCATAGAAGGCTTGCAACCACACCCTAATCGCTAATGTAGGAGCCTGATTAAGAAACCCTGGCCCTATAACCCCCCCATTTATATTTGGATTCATATAAACCCTGGCCCTAACAAGGCCCATGGTTTCTTAATGAGGTTCCCACATTAAACCGTGAGATGAACCTTAAAGCTCCTGCCCGAAACCTCTCACTGCCGAAACCTAGTTGCTGAGTTCATAAGCCCCAGAAAGTGTACACTTTCAGTCTTATAGTGGGCAATATTACCCCAAAACCTGTAAACTGTATCCACTCAGCAACTAAGGAAAAGCTGCAAGCCGTTCTAGTCCTTGTCTCCCGTCTGGACCCTGTCTGCATCTGCTGCAAACCATATCCCTAAACCCTAAACCCTTGTACCCCATAACCTACCTATAGTCTCCATTGTAGTTCCTTTTTGGCGTTACCTTTTAGGATCCTTAATATACAATTGGTTAAACTCATACAAGGAACTACAATGGAGACTATACTAGGATACCCAGTAACCCAAGAATAGAAAGGCCTCTCTTTTTGGTATTGGGTAACTTTATAAGGAACCTAGGACTACAAAAAGGGAAGAAGGTTACTACTGGGCATCCTAGTATAGGTAAGCCTGACATAGTCGAACTACTCAGGCCCTGTTTTCAACATCCGCCTGGCGGATCTCTTCGAGCACCCGCGCGCTGCGGGAGTCGACAGAGTCTACCTGAACAGCGAAACGGTTTAGGGTTTAGGGTTTAGGGTTCCTGTAGTTTGTCATTTGATTGCCTTCTTGCCAATTCCTGAAGGACCAGATGATGCTTAACAGTAGGGGGCTATACCCATATACTATGAATCCCTATATGGCATATGAACCTTGAACCCTTTTAGGGTTCATTTCGTCCTTAAGGTTCTGCTCTGTCTAATACATGTATGTGTGCGTGCTAGCGAGTTTCGCCGCTCTACTGTCATGTCTGGATTTCTATCGCATTTAGGACCTGACCATTGTCTAGGTGTGCAGGATTTCGGCTTTAGGGGTCTACCGTTTAGGGGCTTAAGGGTTTAGAACAGGTGCCCTTACGGGGAATCCGAAGTCCTAAACCCCCATTCTTACCTTTGGTTAGTAGGGAATGGAAGAATGGTAGTAATAGTAGCTATAATTGTACCCCATTCCTCCATTCCCTACTAACCAATGGTACATTGTAGTTCCTTCTATTGGTTTAACCAAATATACAATTAGGATCCTATAAGGTAACCCCAAAAAGGAACTACAATGGAGACTCTAGGTAAACCCCCATTTGCAACCGCGTCGCCAGCTGTTGCATCGGTTCCAAGATTGCAGCAGGATCAAAGGCGGGAACCTTCAATTCAATGCACACCCTATGAATAGGGCTCCTTTAAGGGTACCATAAGGGCTCAATAATCAGGTACTCGGTTTTAAGACAGTAGTTATGTAGGTTATGATGTTGGAGAGTATATGATGATCAGGTACTTGGACCCTTGGGGTAAGGCTCCTTTAAGGGTACCATAAGGGTTCCTTTAAGGATACCATAAGGGTTTAGGGCTTAAGGGTCCATGTACTCATATAACATATATACATTGGCCTTGAAGTACTCTCTCTATAGGTACATTGGGCCCAAAGTATATACTTTTTGGTTACAAAGACCCTCAGGGTATGGATGTATAGAGTTGCGACCCCACTATTTAACCCCCCAAAATAATGAGCTAGTAGGGTCCTGATTAGAAAGATACATGAAACCCGTCTCCCTAGCTGCTAGCTTTCATTTCTGATACCCCCTTGTTCCTGAAATCATTGTTGAATCTGGGCCTTACTGTAGGCCCTGCAAGAGCTTTGAATGTTGGAAAGTGCTGCACGCTTTGACAGTCCTCAGCCTTCAGGCCTAAAGCCGATCCCTAAGGGTCCAAAGGACCCAATAATCAGGTACTCGGTTTTGGGATAGTAGTTATGTAGGTTGGATTTCGGAGAGTATATGATTATTAGGTACTTGGACCCTTGGGGTATACCCCAAGCCCTGGATACTCTGCGCGGATTGGAACTATGTTGAGCCAGATGAGCAAAATTGACGTGCTTGCACCCCCTAACTAACCCTATGCCCTTGTGGAACCTCCACGGAATATCAAAACCCTAAAACCCACATCCAAAAGCCCCTTGCTAAGGAATCGTAAACGGAGCACTCTTCCCACGGCCTGAGCCTGCGGACGTCCTTCCGCTTCTTCGGCTGCTTCGGCTGCGGAAGCTCGGGTGGCCTTCGCAGTTCTTTTTATTGTTTACGGTGTTTGGGTTTAAGGGTTTTGGTTTTCGGGTGTTGATGTTGGGGTTTGGCGCTTTCGGTTGTGGGGTTGAAAATTATTGGCTTTTGAAAGCATAAGGGTTTAGGGGTCATAGAGGTTAGGGCCGAACCATAAAATTTATGCAGACACCCGACTTCTCTGTGACAAATCTCTTTGCTTGCTCACACCGTGGGTTTCTCTGCAACTGTTGTAGGAGTTCGGAGAGCCTTGCAAAACCCAAACCCGACAGTGCCCCCAACCTAATAGGGGCCTCAATAATTGGAATAGGGTTTTGGGGCGCATTATACTATATCCATAACAAGGAACCCCAAAATAGGACAGGTAACTATTCGGGCAACCATATTACCCTAATTTAATTTCGGAGTATCACCGCCTCGAAAAACCCAGAAGCCTTTGATTAGGCAATGCATCGAACACACCCTAAACCCTAAACCCTAAACCCTAACAGTATAGAGGGATCCCTGATCTGGATTAATATATGGACAGTGGTCAAAATCATGGTCCTTTTTGGGTCCCTATTATAATACGGCACCTATTCTTTAGGGTACCCAAAAAGGGACCCTAATTTTGACAACCACCCATATGTTTCTGAATTAACTAATGCTTTATGTTTCCATTGCATAAGGTTTCCCGAGCAAGCAGTGAACCCCAAACTCTAAACCCTTGAAGTAATAAGGTCTTCCGGAATCGCTGCATTAGAAGCCTGAGTGGTTACCAAGACTATGATGATGCTATGGATTTCCCTCAACCTACTTCTTGTGGTGTTCTGTATCCCCAAACCCGATTCCAAATATTAAGGCCCGTATGCTAAACTAAACCCTTACAGATACATAAGGGTCCTCTTGTTACTTTTGAAGAAGTACATAACCCTAAACCCAAGTAAAACCTACTGCAGAAGCGACACGAAACCCTAAACCCTGAACTGTTAAACCCTAAACCCTACTCTCAGGTATATGATAGAAGCGACACGACACCTCTGCCTCCATACTGGCCTTCAGCGCCTCTGAGGTGGAGGCCACCTGACGATGATTCACAGCGGATTCACAAAATAAGGCCCTGCTTGCAGACACTGGCTTTAGGGAGGTTCAGGATGGAGGTGTATTTTTGAGGCTTAGTAACTATTTCCAGTCTTTGCGAAGTGTTTGGTCCAGGGTCCAAATACTTATCTGGTGGGGATTGACATGTCAAAAACTTCTCAGAGTAAAGCCCTAGCACGCCCTCTATGGATACGATATGGGAGTTTCCGAAAATTAGGGGTCCTTATTTTGGGGTCCTTATGATAAGGGTCCTACTATTTAGGGTACCATGTATGTTAGGATCCCCTATTTTCGGAAACGCACATATACTGGTTGGGTACTTGGCCTCTCTGGGTTCTACATACGGTGGCACTGGATTTTACATACAGTGGCACCAGGGATTTAGGGGTGCAGGGTTTCGGGGTTTAGGGTTTAGGTCTTCAGGGTTTTGGGGGTGTGGGGTTTAGGGTTCAGAAGTTTGGGATTTAAGGCCTTAAGTCCAGGACTGTAGGCTTTTACAGTAGGCTTTCTAGAATTTAGATTTTGACAACACCCCAAGTGTCCAAGGACCCAATAGTCATATACTCTCCAAGATCCTAACCTACATAACTACTATCCTAAAACCGGGGACTAAATATTAAGGCCCATATAATAGAACCCTTATAGTAATCCTTTTAAAGGAACTTTATAGAACTCTTTTAAGGAACCCTAATCATCAGGTCCTCTGGATTTTGACGACAGGTCTAGGGCTGAGAGAGTGAGTTGCGTATCTGGGATTCTCTTCGTCTAGTTTTGAAAAGTGCCTAGTTAAAGGATCATGGGACTTAGTAATTGGGACTATAACTTATCTTGAACCCAAATCTACGCGCTTGTGGCTGTCTTTTCACGAAAGCAAGAAATCCGGACCCCCAGCAAAAGCCCAAAAGGTTATTCTAACTTGCTTTGCTGCATCGACTCAAAGCTCTGTGCCCTTTGCCCCCGTCTATGGCCGGCCAAGTAAGTAAGGTAAGTACAGCTCTACTTACTTATTATAACCCCAATTAAGGTACTTATATCCCTGCCTAACAAGTCCCATGATCCTCCAAGTAGAGCCACGCTCGGAGGTGCTTTTAAAGCCTTTGAAAAATATCAGTAGGTAAGATCCTCTTAAGCCCAATAAGAGCAAATACACAATGTCCCAAAGCTTTACCTAGTCCAGCTTTGAGAAAGGCCTAGAGCCACGGTTTAGAGTTTAGGGGCATTGCCTGGTCTGAAACACGCGAGTCAGTTTGGAGCTACAAACCCCATCCACTGTTGTTGCGCCTTCTGCGACGGCTACTATGTTACTACGACACCAGCCACGATTACCAGTGAAACTACCACTACCACGACTACCACCACGGCCACCACGACCACGAACGCTGCCGCCGCACGACGACGATGATTTACTGCCTATTGGCACACCAGCCACCACCTCTACCACGACGACGCAGACGCGTGACCAGAGCATAGTGAATTACCGCGATTATGACTGTGGTGCTGCTGCTGATCATAAGGACATTGTTGCTCTGATGATGCTGATACCGGAGATATCGTTCATCCACCATGTTGATGCTCAAGCTGCGATACAGTGATTCTCATGATGCTGGTTGTGATGCTGATGCAGCTCCTCCTTCTGAAGGCTAAAGTCATAAGTATTGCCTTGCCATACCCACTCCTCACCCCCAAGGTGCTTCAACCTGCCGTCAACCCTTCCCCCTTGTGTCCACGGGCACCTGCATTCGGCAGTCATACGTGAGGTCCATGAGCTTGCTGAAATCCATCTGAGCACAGCAGAAAAGTTGAAGTCTAGCATAGAAGCTTTCGTAGTTAGAGTAGGGCTCTGGGGTATTGCAGCTATAGTAGAATACACGCCCAACCCCTATTCTAACTATTAAGGCCACTATAATGGGGCCTTTCGGGCTGCATTGTGGAAGCCCATGTGGGCTCAAAAAAACACTAAACGCCAAGAGTTCATAGATTGTTGCAGGATTCAGCTTCAGGGAAGTGGACTTCTGAAATTACGCGCCTGCAGGCGCGAAAAAGAATAAACCTAAACCCTAAAGCATTCTTGAGCCTGAGGATCTGGGTCCTTTGAGGGCTTACCCAAAGGGTCCAAAGGACCCAATAGTTAGGGTTCCTTTAGAGGGTTCTATAAGGTTCATTTTAAAGGGTTACTATAAATGTTCTATTGTATGGGCCTTGATGATTAGGTACTGGGTTTTAGGATAATAGTTATGTAGGTTAGCTTGGCGTTGAAGTCCTTGTACTTGGCGTTGCCTTCGGCCGCATCAACGAGCCCCTGGTCCGGATCCGTGCCATCCTCGAAGCGCAGCTCCGTTTTGACGCCGGAGCCGACGCCTTCCTCCGACCGCTGCTGCAGGCAGGCCTGGATGGCAGTTTCGACGGACGACACCACCACTGCTCGGTTGCCCTCTGTCTGCACATGTATCGCTGTGAGGCCATTCGGAGAAAAGCCACACCGTTTGCCGCCCTGACTGACACCTATGTTGGTTTCGAGGAAATGATGGCTCCGGGCTCGCACTTAGTGCAGTGAGGAATTTCTGGTGCAGGGCTTTGGGTCTGACTGCCTCATGTAGGAACCTGATTATGAAACCTTGGGCCTTTACTAGGGTTCCTTATATGAATCCTACTGCTTGTGGGTTATAGGCCTAGAGCTTCTTAATCAGGTTCCTACATTAGAGAACACAGGCACAGTGCCGACTCCAGGCTTGCATTGAGTAATATTAATAAACTCTTGAAGGGAACTGCAGAAGGTTGGAATATGGTTTCAGGGTAGGATACCTTATAACTTACCATAAACTCACTGGCCCAAAACCCAAGGCAATAAAAGTTGAAACTTTCAGAATCGACTACCTTATAAGAACCCCAAAAGTTGAAAAGTTGAGTTTACAGCCAATAAGTAAAGGGTTTAGGATAATCATATTCCAACTTTCTGGCTTTTACTGTAGTCCCAAAGGGTCCTATGTAATGTTGTGGGGAGTACTAAACCTTATCATTCTGGAGAGGTTTGGTGGGATCAACCCTTGGTGCATCAGTGCCTCCTGCAATGACTGCCTCAACTCTGCGTGGTTCTGGTCCATTTTCGAGCGCATCTCGCCGATGAAATGGGGCATCTGCGGTGTGAGCTTCTCAAGGGTCAGGGTTGGATGTTGAGGCTTCCAGTTGAACTACGTGGTAGCCTGCAAGGCGTAGTAGAACACAGGGTTTTGCTGTTTCGCTTCGGGTTCCATTACAATTAGTACGACGGTCCGATACATTCACATAAAGAAACAAGAATATGCGCTTGCTGGTACAGTAATAACGAATGCGAAGCAGCTGTAGCATTCGTGGTGAATCTGAATGTCAAGTCTCCCAGAAGAGATCTGACTGGGTAGCTCTCACCCAGCCCTCGTTCCCCGGAAGCTCTGGAGGTTGCATGCAGCACGGGTCCTCAGTCGAATCAGCTGGCAAGAGCGCCTACAGCCTCCCCTTCTCGACACTGAGTGCTTCGTTCTCTCCTTCACGATTCTCCAGGTCCGTAAGCCTACGTGGTTCTCTCGCCTTCTGAGTAGGCGACGAAGTTGGCAATTTTTAGACGAATATACAGTCAGAACAAAACGCAAGACTTTGGTGCCCTACCGTGAATCCTTATCCCTACGCCCTGAAATCCCACATCAATTAACAAACAGCACTAATCGCTACAAAAGCAAGTCTTGTATCCTGAAACCCTGCACTCAAGGTCTCTATACCTAAACCCACAAATCCTCGCCCCAATGCCCCGTAGTTCTACGCGGGGATCCTAAATCCTAAATCCCGACCCCCCTAATTCTACGGGGGTTCATGGCAAGATACAAGGGTTTAGGATTTAGGATATGTGCCTTGTTGAAGGGGCATCGGCCTCTTGGCAAGTAGCACACAACAAAACCGCATGGAGACAAGGACAAACCCTTCAACCAGAAGCCCTGAACCCTTAACCCTTAACTCTAAACTCAAAGACCTATAAGCCCCCAATCCTTAAGCCAGCAAAGCCAACTCTTGCAGGAACCCTTCCTGAGCCGCAGCTCCTAAAGACTGAAAAAAAGAGTCTTAAACCATAAACCTTGAGCCCTACACCCCGAAAACCATACATCATTAACTAACACAGCCTTAAATTAAAGAGCCAGAGCGCGCGATAGAGTGAGAGAGAGAGAGGGAAAACAAAACAAGACAGATGCGTACATATTCATAATATACACATACATACATACATACATACATACATACATGTACATATACATATACATATACATATACATATACATATACATATACATATACATATACATATACATATACATATACATATACATATACATACATACATACATACATACACACACACACACATCCATACATCCATACATATACATGCGTATATATTCTTGTATACATACGCATGTTATATATATATATATATATATATATATATACATATATATATATATATATATATATATATATCCATACCTCTCTCTCTCTCTATATATATATATATATATATATATACATACACCTCTAAAATCTATCTATATATATATATATGTATATGTATATGTATATGTATATGTATACAAACAATGAAAAGACTTTTGAAGGAACCCTAACGGCCTCGCAAAGATCCCGGAGGGACTCCAACTCTTCTCGACTGCTACGGCCGTTCTTCTCCACCTCCTGACCGTTAGTTTAGGCTTCAGGGTTTAGGGTTTTAGGGCTTAGGGTTTAGGGGTGTACGGCTTAGGGTCTGGGGTTTAGGGCTTCGGGTTTAGGCTTTAGGGTTTACAGTAAACCCCATAAAGTTGGAAACCGGGTTAAGGCCAAATAGTGCTGGGATCCCCTTTACGTTACTCTTAAGGATTGAGGCTATGGGGTTTCCAACTTTTAGGCTTCTACTGTAGGGGTGTAAGGTTTAGGACCTCCTGGCGATTTCGTAGGCTTTAGGGCTTAGGGTTTGGGGTTTAGGGTTCCTTAAAAGGTTCCTTAGGGGGGTCCATAAGGGATCTATAGGGTTCCTTAAAGGGATCTATGGGGTTTAGGGTTTAGGGCTTACTTAAAGGATCATGGGACTTAGTAACTGCGGTCCTTAAGGGGTCCCTTTAAAGGATCTATAGGGGTACTGTAAGGCTTTAGGGGTGTAGGGCTTAGGGCTTAGGGCTTCGGGTTGCGGGGTTAGGGTGTAGGCTGTAGGCTTTAAAGGTGTATGGTACTTAGCAAGTGAAGCGACAGCTTATTTGTTGGCCCGTTCACTGCTCACACGGTCTGAAGAGTCTGTCTGCAGACGGAAAGTGGCTGTCTGGCGGCAGAGTGGCAGTCGCTGGCGCCTGGCCAACAGGCAATAAAGGCACCATGCACTGAGATTCCCAGTCTGCAACTGAGAACACAATCACTAACTGCTTGATTGATGAGTCAGCGATTCCCACTCTGAAGGCAGGGCTTAGGGTTTGGGGTTTAGGGCTTATATAGGGTTTAGGGTTTAGGCTTTAGGGTTTAGGGGTGTAAGGTTTAGGGTTTAGGGTTTGGGGGTTAGGGCTTAGGCTTTAGGGCTCAGGGGTGTAAGGTTCAGGGTTTCGGGTTTAGGGCTGCAGGTTTTAGGCCTTAGGGGGTTCGGTTTTAGCGCTCAGGGTTTAGGGTTAGGGATTTAGGGCTCAGAGATTTAGGATTTAGGGGTTTAGGGGCTTAGAGGTTCAGAGTCTTATGGGGTTTCAATGCGAGTTGCTATGAGCACCTCGTTTCTTGGAACTATGTAAGACTTCGTGCAGGCTAAGAGGCCCAATCTATTGCAAACGCCGACACATCTATGATGGGTGTAGGGTCACAAGAAGCTAGGGCATAAAATCTAAAAGTCACCGGCACCGTGGAGCACCCTCGAGACGCGTAGTTTGCTTAACCCAGATTCCTTTGAAGATTTGCAAGACTGAGTCCAATATCGAGGTCGGGAAGTTGGTGTCGAATACTGATCCTTGTAGTCTCGTAACTAGAACGTAAATACCCCAAACCCAAACCCGAACCCCCCAAACCAAACGAAGAAAAACACCTAATCCCCAACAGCCCAACCACCTCAACCCTTGACCTAGAGCCCTGAATCCAGAAACGAAAAGTCGAAAAGCAGAAGAAATCCTAACCCTAGGCCCCAACCCCAAAACCCCTAAACGCCGAAACCCCTAAACACTGAAACCCGAGACCCTACACCCCAAACCCCAAAACCTTAAACTTGAACCCTACCCTGACCCCAAATAGCCTATCTTTTTTTAGGGACTTATACAAAGAAATCATATTAGGGAACCCCTAAAAAATGTAGGTTCTTTGAGGGTCCAGGTAAGCCCTAAAACCCTAAGACCCGAAACCCGAAAACCCAGGTCCTCGCACATGCTCCGGCAGGCTTGGAGCACCTCTTGCGAGGTGGATACGGTGGATGATATAAAATCCTGCATGACCTTAAGGACCCTAAACTATGGGAATAATGGTATATTCCTTACTATGGGTAATGCAGGATTTATACCATCAACAGTATTATACGACGGGTTAGGATTTAGAGTTTAGGGTTTTGAAAACTAGAATAGGCTTCCTTTCAATGGCTTCTTCTGGGGATTGATCATGGGAAGGTTTTAGGGCTTAGGATCTCAGCCTGGAGAACTAGAATAGGCTTCCTTTCTTCTATGGTCAGGATCTGTTCTCCAAGAAAGGTAGGTACCCAAACAAAGGGGTAGGGTGTGACCCTCCAGCTGCTAGGGCCCCAAAAACGCACATAAGCAAGACTGAGGACAGGGATATCCCAATATAAACGCCCTTGTCATTTGTCATGAAGCCCAGTAAGGTAGGGATATCCCTCTCAAATGTTATTGCTTATGTGCTTTTTGGGGTCCCTAAGCTACGGCGTTCGCGTTCAGGGTTCAGCTTCTTCGGGCTTGACATCCCAAGCGAAGACTCGCAAAAGACGCAGGACTTCATAGGGACCCTTAGGGGGGTAGGGTGCCTTCTTGCCCATAATGAGGACCTAGTAAGGCCAGTTTCAAACGAGGAGATAGTCCCCTACTCCCCTAAGGGTCCCTATGAGAACTGAACGATCCCAGACACGGATTTGCTGGGTTGGGCTTTCTGAGTTTCCTTCTGCCGTGAAGTGACACTAAAAACAAATTTGTTCTGAGTCGCAAACAGGCGTAGAGCCCAAAACGCCTGAACTTGCGGAAACCGCCAAACCAAACCCCGTCCAAATAATGGCCTTTGATGGGTATTGGGCCATTATTTTACCTACTTTGGCGGGTTTAGGTACACTAAGCCTCATGCCCAAACCCCCCAAAGTCTAGCCTGAGAGCTCCAAACCTGAAGATTCCCTCTGATTCCGCCTTTGGCCCTATTTCCAAGCGCGGGATAGTGTGCATAGTTTAGGGCTTAGGGTGTTTTTCAGCACCAGATTAGGGTTTTGGGGTTTATAAACAATTCAGCCCCCGTACAGCGGAACCTTTTTTAGCGAGGCTACATTTTCCTGTCCTCTTCAAAAGGGCGGAAAAAAGTAGAACAGAGTATCTCCAAGTAGGTTGATGCCATGAGTACAGCAGAACGTGCTCAAATCATCCTTGTTGAAATGGGGGTGTCGAGCGTTGCTTGGATTATTGCGAGGATCGATTAGTAGGAGGTGCGTTTAAAGCCATTGAAAAATATTCGTAGGTAAGATCCTCTTAAGCCCAATAAGACCGAATATAAAATGCCCCAAAGCCCTACCTAGATTGCTTCGCGACCCTGTGTTCGGGGAGTCTCTCGATGAAATCTTGCGGAGACAGATCTGAGGGGCCCATGGCGAAAAATACCGTCACCTCTTTGACCAAAGACACGCGGCCCCATCCTTACAGATGGGGTATTTCAAAGCCGACAACTCAATTGCCTAGACAGCTTGCCTAACTTGTAATTGTATCCCCAAACCCAAACCCCACAAAATAGCAGGTTTTGACCCCCTAATCAGAAGGTCAAACCCTCAAAACAGTAGGTTTTAGATCCGCAGGAAGTCGCTAACGATGAAGCCTGGGATGCTGTACCTCTCGCATGCACCTGTTGCGACCATATGGGAGTTTCCGAAAAGTAGGCGACCCGAAAAGACTACCCT